ATATTCGTCGCAAAAAGAGAAGTGAAAATTGTAGCACGAACATTTTTTTATATATATATATATAATCAAATGTTGTTTAGTACTTCTAATGAAAATACAGCAGTAATTATTACTCTTAGGTGTTTAAGGTCACTAACCTTTGTTTTCAGGGTTATGTTATTTTTGATTACTTCAATTCTATAATGAATCATAGTTCTCAAGGCCGTATCTGATTAATTTCTTTCTGGATTTGATCGGCAAGAATGAAGACTGACAATTTTAATCCAAGTACAAGTTGTTTTAAATTCTTGAACAAGGCATACAATTTGAAAACCAATCTTAAAGAGATGCCACGATTTTTCATGTCGTGCGCTGTGTAAGAGCAGATCTGAGATTTTGCAGAAACCAAAATTAATGTAAAGTATTATTTTGAATATGTACTGACTCTCTTCCTTACAAAAAAAAACATTCTGCTTAAGATATATAAAACAAGTTGTCACGTCAAACTATGGCTAAAACGATTTATTTCTTTATTTTGTTATTGCACTTTTTAGATTGTAATACTTTATTTATGTTATATAGAATTGGCTTTATATGACCACACTCTTTTTTTAAATGTGTACAACATCGTAATTTTGACAGTGGCAGCAAAGAAATATAAGATTGCAAATGATATAAAGAATTATCTGATCCATTTAAACACTTTGTCAAACTTTATTCCAGAATTCTGTATATTCTTACATATGAAACAGCACATTTGTCTCATTGGAAAATTTTATCAATTAATGCCAAAAAGTAGTGTCAGTAATATTGATAATGTCATAACTAGAAATGTCCAAGTTGATTTTTAAAACAATCAAACCCTAGTGCCATCAAATAAAATAATTAATGGATTTCGATGTTAACGTAGACCCTAATTTGCAAGAAGTATTTGACCTCTTTCTGCAGCTAGAACTTTTTTTTGAAGGTGTCGTTTCAGTAATCGAAAACAGAAATTATGCCTACATACCTTTAGCATTCGTGATTGAGTTGTATGTAACATTAAGTATTAATTTATTTCCCCACACAGATAGTAGTTTTGAAGTAATTTTGCTAAATTATTTTAGATAAAACAACCAAAGTCTCATTAGTCATTATGCTTTACTAAATTGTATACGCTTATTATTTAGCAGTATTGATTTGTGATTTTACGTACTTTTTCTTAGCTGTAAGGTAAATTAACGTTATATTTGGTAACTCAAACCTGTGACCTAGTTATCAAACCAAATGTGAAGTAAAGAAATGTTGCACTCATGCTCGTTTTTTTCTGATTTCATGTATCTTAAACTTGTGTCAAATTTTGTTGTAATATTATTACAAAGTATTTGAAATTTGATTAAGGTATTTTATTAGTTTCTCCATTACTATTTGTTCGTCTTCCAGCAGCGAATAATACACAAAAGCACACCAAAATGTTTTTTTCTCTTTCCGATATCATGTGATGTATTGATGTAACCTGTGTGTGTGTAATTTACACACACCGTCAGTAAAATGAGGTATAATTTCAGTTTATATTGTCTAAAAATAAGATTATTTTGTGCTAAAAATAACTCGGCAGTTTTGTTTGCTTTATATGTGTGGATTAAACTAGCGTATTTTTATAAAATTAGGTTCAGAATCAATTTCTCCGCACCGAACGATCGTTCAGAAAATTAATTAATTTAGCGTGGTTGCTTGGCGTTTCGTAGTCATTCGTAGAATACGGAAATGCAAGTTTTCTTTTTCATTTGCTCTTGAGTATAACCTATATGTCCTCTGTCCGTACTACTTTGTTGTTAAGGTAGTAATGCATCAATTAAAATTTATCCATTTCAAAGAAATGGTCTCTGGAAAATTAAGTTTTAGATTATTTCGAAATTTTAACAGGGAATGAATTTTAATGGATTATGACATTAACGAAAATTTGCCACCAATGAGGGCGCAAAACTATTAAACTAATTTTTTTAGGTATACCCAAATGCAAATGGTTTGGGAATGTTTTGCTTCCCAAGTGAGATTTAGAAAAGAATTGTAGTAGGGTCCATTTGGCAAATGGTTAATTTCATGTTTCTTCGACGGTTCATAGCTCCTAGAGTATGAAAAAGTAGGTTCCCGTTTTCGTCTGTCTGTCTTCCGTCCATTCGAAACTACTGGGCTGGTTGTTATATATCTTACAAATATCGTGTTAAACGATGACAGAAATTTGATTGATCATTCCCATCAACAATTTAATGACGTCATCTCAAAGTTTTGCAAGATATAATACGATTACTAAGACGAGACATGGTTTTGAGCACGTTTATATGCTTCTTCTAAAATCTTTCAAACGTCGTAAGGTTATCGTAGACACGCTAACCAAGATGTACATATTTGTTTATCCCCTTCCAAAATTTGATTACGTTGCCTAAAAATTTTACTAGATGAATCACATCTAAAATGTAGAAAAATCGGTATACACATGTGGTTTATCGGCGCACCCATATTTTTTATGATTTTATATACAAAATATCTGAATTGAAAATACAGAATGCAACAATTTATTTTATTGATTGAATCAAAGTGGTGTATCTTATTTTTTCTAAATTCTAAATAATAGTGTTGTTAGTATTTAGTATTACACTGTACTTATCTAAATTGATTAAATAGCTTCTGATTTATCATTTATATGTAGAATTACTTTCTTAGAACGTTAAAAAAATTAATGTATGGATCTATTAATTTGTTGTTTCAGAAAACGATCTTTTGATTTTCCGGATAAATCTGAGCGCAGTAACGTTTTGTTTAGTATTTAATATAATTAAGTTAGACAGTTATTGATATTAGTATTACAAATACCGAGAGAACAATAATAAACACGATCAAAGACAGCCATGGATTTTTGAAGATTTTTTTTTTTTTTCATATAATTTTCGTCGTGTTGGATTACTGTCAACTTGAAAGCTTCATCTGAAAGTGCAACTATTACAGACAAATCTTCAAAAATCCATGGCTGCCTTTGATCGTAAAAAACACCTCTAGTTACTTCTCGATGTTCAAATATTTTCTGAAGGTATGGCCATGGCCGACTAGTATAAAGATTATGGCCTGTCCAAGAGGTACGATACGTGTTGCCATCTATTAATAATTACACTTAATAATTTAGCAAAATTTTAATTTGACTTGACATTATGGGACTTCAAAACGTGTAATGGTGGTTTGTTTCGGTATGAATGCCTTTGTGCCTTTCAAAAAGTGTTAATAATTCTTTTGTCGTTTTTGAATTATTAATAGATGGCAGCACGTATGGTACCTTTGGCATTCCTTTGGACAGGCCATAATCTTTATACTAGTCGGCCATGGTATGGCGTAACTAGCGTTTAACATAATTTGAGGTTAAATCAATAATTCGAATAGTGACAGATTGTCTACAGATAAGAGCAATGACAAAAGCGACAGAACGAGTTTGACAGTGACAGATATGCGATTACGATGTTAATATCCGTTCGCAAAACTCCCGCACTGTCAGTGTCAGATTTGGAAAAAATGACCTGAGTGTACTCAGTGGTGAGATGTGAAAAACCTGTACAATATGTTGCAAAATTGCAATCTAGTGACAAACTAGTAACTAAAAATAACTTGTCAAATAAAAATGTCAAAAGCACATTAACTGAAGATTTTTATCAATTCAAGTAAAGAAAGAGTATGACACACGAACGACAACGAAAGCTTTTTTTGAATAATATATATTTTTGACCTTACTGTCCATTTCTACGCTTCTGGTGCTACAATTTGTTTGAATTACTGACAAGTTCTTTAAACACAATGAACACTTCAGCAAATCAAAAAGTTAAAATAGTTAATAAACATTTGATTTTTCATTCATTAATTTTGAAAATTTGAAATTCAAGGCGGTAATCATATAAACTTAAAAATCTTTTAGGGGATTATTTCTCATACCAACAGAATGTCATTCTGACAATGCGGGAGTTTTGCGAACGGATATTAGGTAGGTCATACGTTCAAAAAAGATTTACGCATCGAGTAGTAACTAGAGGTGTTTTATTTTTGATCGCCACTATGTAAGTTTCTATTCTAGGTAGGCTGGTGTCGAGAAACGTAAGTGCATGCGGGGTGCATACATCACAGATCTGTCAATGTCAAGTTAAATGCAAAACAGTAATATCCAACCTAAAAAAGTGAGCACGTTGAAAAGCCAACCTAGATTCGAAATTTAAAGAATCGCACGTTAAATATTGTGTGCTCTTCAGTATAAATGCCTATTTCCATATGATGAACTAATATTAGTAGGTGGTGTACGATTTAATGAATTTCGTTTTGTGATATAGATATACGGTATAGTATAGTGTTTTCATTTTAAAACAAAGAAATCGGTGTACTTGGATATAATTGTACGATTATAAAAATTCACTCTATCAAGCAGTGGTAAAAACTCATACAATATGATTCTAGATAAGGTAAATGACCTTAAAAATGTAGCGTCTCCTTTCTAATTTTGATTAAATAGGAATTGCAAAAATCGCTTTCTCCATAAACTCATTGCGTGATGATCCTCTTTTAATTAAAGATTTGAGAATGTTGTAATACACATTAAGTGACTGCAATAACTATTGTTAGTTTGCGCTACGAAACTCTTAAAATATCGAACTTCGTAGATTTTGGTTATTGGAAGACAATGAGTGACTCAGATTTTATAAGTAATAAAACATATTACAGAAAGAAAATCTTCATAAATGGAAATATTATTCTATGATAAAATGCTTGCTTCGCTTGTTAGTCGATTAAAAATGTAAATTTATATGCTGATAGTGACTATCCCACTTGATTGAGATTGGTAATAACATATGTACAGTTTTGATTAATACATAAACTAATCGTTGTGTGTACTTTCGTTCTAGGTAATGTGAGCTGGAAAGTTCGATAGTCAGTGGGGACAATGTCGGCAGCAATGCGCCCGACTCTTCAGCCTGTCCCCGAAAGTCTGGAAGTGACCAAAAACGCCGACCCCACTAGTAGTGCCAAGACGCCTGTTAAAGTTAGCTCAGATGCCAATAAGTCATCCCGTTACAACTACCACACACCTTCATCTACAAATAAGGTAAAGTTATGCTTAAGTCAGCTACCTGCTGCTGTACAGGGTGTTCATCTAAAGTGATCAATCGATCAGAATTACCTTAGAACTTACACCCGCATGGAAAATAAGTTTAGCAGTATGATATTCACTGTGGCGGCTTTTATGTTTAAAGACCCATTTAAATTAGGAAAATTGATAATGTCTCTAAACCTATTTATAAATTATCTGCCAAATATATTGCCTGCAAAAGTGCAGTTTGAAAGTAATTTTGAATCGATGGATTAGACCAAACACCTTGTAATTTTCAAAAAGGAAATTTTGATTATTTTTCAAAACAACAGGATTTCCTTATACGTTTCAGTGATGCATATTTATATTTTTTGCTGTGTTCATGAAGTTACAGATTCTGTATTGTTTGGTGGTGGGGCATTCTGTTGCGTTTTGCAGTACATCATTTTAAATCGTGTTTTAAATCATTAAAATGTATATTAAGGGTTCTACAAATATATTTTTACTTTTGTAATTCTACAATTGATGAAACCTGTAACAAACGATCATTAATTTACACTTTGGATAATAGAGGACAGCACTTTCCGTTAATGATGCTGTCTTATTACAGTGGGTGCGGATTACGTGTGTATTGCTGTTTGTATATGTACTTAAAAATCATTTGGAAAGGATTTACAACTTGTATGAGCTTCATGGATTGAATAATTACATTAAAATACGTAAATTTAATTTTATATATGAACAAGATTTAGCGATAAGTTCTCGCCTTCTTACGTTGCTTTCACATGATCACGTTGACACACAGATAAGACTTCAGAAGTTAATATTTATGACGGAAGGAGTGCACAACTAACAGTTACGGTATTACAAGTACCCATTTGTAGGTAGTTATTAACATTTGGGAAACTGTGGTCGCAAATCGTATTAGAATTTAGTTTTAAAGTATTAATTTAGGAACCTCAAAAAAATGCAGTCGTGAAGCGATTAGAAAATTTTTGTTTGTTTAACGTAATCGTGTGAATCAGTACTTTTTATTGAAACAGATTATATAGTATTTTTTTACCGAAAAAAGTTTCAATAGATATTTCAAAATATGTATCTGTATATTTAAAAAAATGTTTGTATATTTTCAAGTTTAAAAAATCCATCCTTGCATTTAGAGAGTAAGAAAATCTAAAAAGCTGCTGTTGTCTTGGTTCCTGCAGGAATAACCAGAGTTCTGCGAACTAGACCAAATTCTTAATTTTACGAAATAAACGGTGTAATATATTTCAGAATTGTTAAAGGCACGTTTTTCAAAATTCATGTGCGAAAAAAGGAAATGTTGGATTTTCATTATCTACTTTATTTTTAAGCAAATGTTACGTACGGATTTTTATGAGCATTCGATTTTTAAGTATCGAAACGAAAACCCGATTGTCAGAACACTTGGTTAGAACGCAAATTATATAAATTATCAAATCCGCATAGTTGTGACATAAAACAAGCATATAGTTGGAGAGGTCTTACATTGAGTATCGTTTTACTATGTCGGAAAATGTCAGACCAATAATTGAACTATATATAACTTTACTATCATACATTGTTGTGTACAATATCTGAATCTGTTAAATATCAAGACCAAAAATTGTAAAAAAATGTATATTTCAAAGAATAGTAATTAAAAGATTACATCAGAATTTCATCTCAGTTTCTTGCCTAATTGCTATCAGTTGAATCAGATTTAGAAAAAACATTACTTATCTTCAGAATTACTTGAAATAAATTACATGTAACCATTTGTGTATATAAACGTAATAAAAAAAGAACCTCTGCAATTATTTACAAAACTTTTCTCGTGCATGTTGTAAACATATGCACATGTGTAGTTATATACGTATATGCATACATATAAATACTAGATAACATAAATTGATTCATACATTGTTTTTGAGTCATCCTGTGTAATCAATTCTAGAAAATAAAAACATTACCGAGGCATAAATTACGCTGCATTTTTATTACATTTTGAAACGACGTTATCAGGTTTCTGGAGGGGATGAATAGATAAAATTTGGTTAATGTTTTACCATCTTTATCATAATCTTTAAATTCAAGTTACGAAGATAGACACTTGCCCTTTCGTACTATGAGTTTTGAGACACCAAGAAAACATGACGTTGGATTTTATCAAGATATTTTATCATTAATAGAAATGTAAAAGTAGTCTAAAGTTTCTTTCTATGCATAATAGTTTTTAAGAAATTTTACTAATTACCTTAAATCTTATTAAAAATTAAAATTAACGCGTTTTGTATATTCAAGTCTAGAGATTAATTGATTGTAATGATGATTTTTAACATCCACTACTTGGAAAATGTTGATAAATTTGTATTTCCTGTTTTTTTAGACTTGTCCATGATTCATTATTAAACAAAAAGAGATGCTGATTGTAACTCCAAAGCACGAATTTTAATAATTATATTCATGCTGGATAAATATCTTATTTCAACTGTAGACGTCATTCATTAAGATTTATCGGTAGCGCACGTATTTATATACTTGCACTTATTTTACTCCGTTTTTCGCCACCAAAATTTTGATGCACTTTTTTAATACTGCAGTGATTACTAATTGGAACTACTTATCGTAACACCCATCACCCTATTTCTATTTTTATTTAATTTTTTTTTTTTTTTCAAAAACTTAAGTTGCATACATTACATGATGTGTATTTGTATTTAGTACTTCATACCGTACCAATCAATACTGTGCTTAGTCACATGCAAAGCGTAAAAAAGCATTTCAGTATCACATTATTAGAATCTAGTATTTAACATTGAGGTCATATTCATTCGAATTGAGGATTGCCAATATGAGACTTCAAAAAAAGTATGTTGCGTTAATTGTATTATTAATAATCTAGAAGAGTTTATCATATGGAAATTTTATTAATCAATCACAAGGATTTGTTATTAGCAATATAATTTATTCAGAGAAACTTGAGCAATACATATTTTGTTATTAGAAATAGTAGTGACATATGTATAAATAACAGAAGACTCAAACAAGAATAGTAGCACTATTACTTATAGTTATAGTTCTGAAGGTTTCATCTAGCTGCTTTTGTTAAAAGAGTGTTTGGGTCTTCATGTCTAGTAGTCAATAATTAAATTTGTTGCCAAATAAATAGTTGACCATCAATTGAAGAAATTCTAAAAATAATAATTTGAAATTAAGATACCGATCATATTTTTTAAGTCAAAGTATGCTGTAAGTATGCATCTAAAATACAAGTTTTTTCCTCTACATCACGTCCTTGCAAATAATTGTAGTACGTGTGTTCTGCATTTCAGAAACATGTAAAAGTAATTGGGGCATGCAAATGCCACCTGTCATTAGTGACTCACAGGGCATATTGTCTTGATAAATAATAATATAATAAGCATAGCAAATCACTGTTGGTGATGCAAAATTTATACATATCTGCACATTTTTTTTTTACGTTAACGTTAATTCGACCAAATCGAAATCCACACAAAATTCGAATGTTGTTGAAAGTGTCATTGTATCACTTTCTCTTCTTTCTAAAGATCATTTTTCAAGATGGCTTCCCATACTTGATTCTATTTGACTACCGTACTTTAACCTGAATACATAAAAGGCACGTTTTTCACAAATTGTATATTATCTTTTAACTGGATTAAAGTTAATGTCATTATACACAAACAGTCGGGCAAACAGATTATATTGGGTTTAATTTTAGTGCACGTCACGTCTCTTCATTTTCATTCCGCTGGTACCGTGGAAGTAGTGGTCCGAAGGATGCCGCACGGTAACATCGCGCCATACAGACACACGGGAGGTCGCGGAGAGTTAACCGTTTCATAATAGAATGAAATGAGCTCGTGTTATAAACGCTGAACGTAAAACAGTTAAATTTTCCGGAGTTTGAGTGTGCGAATGAGTGTATGCGTTTCCATCCGCAACTCTTGTTGGAGAGAACTTCCTGGTGCGTCCGATTCGATCCTGTGCGCGAGATCAGTCAGAACTTGGCTTCGGACGTTGCGCTTGGTGCAGTCGTGTTGTGCGGGTTTTGTTTTACACCCTCTTCAAATTGCGGCCAGAAAGGACGTTCCTTGTTTTAAGTGCCTTCAGATCAAAATACGCGGTGGTTATTTGTTGGATACCTTTTCGTTTAGGTGGACACTTTCAATTGCAAAAACGTTATTTTTGTACTAATGGAGATAAATTCACACTTCTTTACTTATTTATGATTTAAATTTAGAATCGTTATCTTTTCATGGCTGAATGCGCTTGACAGTCTCATAAATTACAGAACAATTAAAAAACAGGTAAAGTAAATTTCAAAAAGCTGTGACTACTTCACTGATAATTCAGTGTAAAAAAGAGGAGGTGTAAGTTACATTTTGTACTGACGAGAAATTCACTACATTGTACAAAATATTATTTGTTGGTAATATCTAATAATACAGTATGACTTAATCGTTTCAATAACGTTTAATGAAATGAACTTTAGGTAGTCGTAGGTGAAGGCTGTTTTCCTTCAGGCTCTTTGATTTTCCGTGTTAAAACGCTTACATGCAGTTTTTATTTAGATTAATACAAATGTTACAATTGGAACTTCCCTTATTACATTTTGACTCATTACCTTATGTAATTTCGCAGACTCTCTGGACCTTGACTATTCTTTAATTCATATCTGTAAATTGCATCATAGTGAGAAAGTTTTAATTAAATCATGTAGATTTACTAAACGGTTTCTACTGTAACATTTTAATGTAATCATTGCTTTTTTCCTTCCGCATTGTGCAAATCATGATTTAAAATAATTGACCAGAGATAAAGAACTTAAAGGACGGACAGGGAGTCCAGTCTAAATAAGAAATAATTTTCTGTCGCATCTGAAAACGTTTATTTCCAATAATTTCACAATTTTGAATTCATATTTTTAATCAAAGAACGTAGTATAAATTTATCACGATAGTAAAGTTTGTAGAAACACGAATGTGTAT